ACCATCGGTTGCCATCAGTTATTTCGTAAATATTCAGTCGTCCCCAATATCACCCCCCCAACCTCCGCGACGCGCACACTGAAATGCGTGCAGTCCGTTATCGGAGGACTGCTACGTCCTCGAGTAATGTTTGTGGTTTGCGTCGAATAATAAAAGGAAGACACGATTGCAGTTGTGTGGCATGCAAAAAACGCAAGGCTGCCGACGCGACATGCCAAAATCAGGTTCCGTAGGCGTAACGGTAGGCCGCGTGCACTCGATCTCTCGCGACAACCTGCACCGACGGACACGTCGATCGACGGTCCTATAAATAAGACTGCTTATTTGCTACAAGATAAATCTCCCGGTAACGATTTGTCACGGCGTTGGCTGCGATACGCACGAAAATCTTTTACACAACTTTCCGAATGATCGGCGATCGGGATTGTATTGGCGCGTGATATCAGCCGCGGTGAAATCGTTCCGTCGCTCTTACCGGAAAAGTCTTGGGTACTTCTGTTAGATACTCGTAGTACTTTGTATCTAAATGGATATTTTCACTCGATAAAATATTGATAAGAATTTATTAGCAAATGTAGAAATTGAAAAAATTTAATTTAAAAAAGGACATTAAGCAAGAGCTATATTGCATAAAAAATTTTTATCTCAATCAACAGTAAATAAGAAAAATTATAAATGGAAAAAAAATATAGGACTCGAGATATCTTGTGCGTCTGCTGTGCGTTTAAAATTAAATTGAATGACGGTGAAGGTCGAGCGTACTTTGCAGATATTCAAATAAAGCAAAAAACAGTTCAATAGATTGTCAGAGAAAAATGTTCGGAGGAATGTTTCTCTTTGAGAAGTATCGATATGAGAACAACAGATAGAACTGGCAATATGGAGAGACAGGAAAGGTCTCGCGTAGTTTGCACTTCGAGCAACATCGTAAATACGATACGACCACGTTGGCGGCCATATATGAAATTCCTAACACCTGCAGCTGGTTGTCGCGAGTAATCTCACGCACATAAACCCGAAAACTTTTACTCGCGTCGCGAATACATCCCACTGTCGTCGTTTCATCCGGATAAAATGAGAATCTACGGCAGAAATAATTCCTCAGTTAGAAATTTTCTGATGACAGACTTTTCGCCGCAAAACCACGATGAGAGCCATGCAAAGCAGTCGTATTTCTCTTTGTGTATCAACTATAATATATCCGAAAAGTTTTGAAAGCTAAACAAATACGAAATCATAGAGTGTATTTTGAAATGCTCAAGTTGTTTAGAAAGTTAGATAAAAATTTCAACATCCGCAATAAATTCAAGCAGGTAAAATAAGAAATAAAGTTCGCTACACTCAATCAAAAATTAAAAAAAAAAATGTTGAAAGAGCTTAACATTTCTTGCAAACTTTTAATGCCTAGCGTTATAAATATATTCATAATTAAATCTCAAATATTTTTTAAATTCTGCAAAAGAAATTCAAGCTAATAAAGCTAATTATTTATCTAAATGGTTCATGTATAATTTTAGAAATTATTCAGGTTTGACTTTTAAATCGAGAAAATTGCTAACCGCAAATTGATAAAGAAGTCCGACATTAAAATTAAAGTTTTTTTTGGAATCATATCATACGTCCATAGATTTTCGAGTTCTTACTTTTCCGTGCTCGACATTTTGCTAGAAACCGCACGAACGTAGCTACGTGGGCAGCGACTAATAACCGACGTTCTATTAATAGAAAGCGTACGGGGGCGTACTCTCTTTTCCACGGATAGATCGAACGAACGAACGATCGATCGATCGATCGCGGCCGGCTCCGATCTCGCGATGTTCGTGTGTCGTGCGTGCACGTATGCTCGATCGCACTTATCTCGCGTGGGTGGACCACATTTTTCGCAGCATTGACTGCTCGTTACACTTACGCGCGCACAGCTGCATCAACAGCGCCGATAACGCTAATTTTAGATCCATTCATCAGCTCGACTCATATGTCATCCCACCGGTAGCGGAAGATCGACGACAATCCGCAATCGCTATCAACATCGCGTCCGGAATCAAAATCATCGTAAATCAAGTTCATCTGTGGCTTTTGCTTTTATATATAATTAAATTAAATCGCTGTATCTAGCGCGTCATGCTTAGAAAAATAGAAAAGCGAGGAAAGAAACTCCAACATCCGCAATTAAAGATGAGGGAAAGGAATACTTCGAGTTTCACGCGCTCCACAATTTTTCTTTTTTGTTGCGAAGAGTACCCATATATTAGCCACTTAAGTTAAGTTAACCACTTAACTTATTGTCAATCGCGAGATGTAGATAAGGCCCGACCAGTCCCGAGAGGCCAGTCGCGCACTTCAAGTATCCTTTCGATACTTCATATCGCGAAGCCCGCGGGCGTGGGCCCGCGGGGCGTAGAGCAAGGCACGAAGCAGCGAGGCGATATCGAAGACCACATCTCCTTTCGCGCATCTCCTTAGCCGAGGCACGATCGAGATAACCGGTAGTAGCTCGGTCACTCTATTTCGCTGCCACTCGCTGTCTCCTACGCGAACTGGTTCTCGGGAACACGCCGCCGTCGTTTTCTGAACTCCGGTTATTCGTTGCTCATTAAAACGCTGTATATACAAATATTATTAATGACAAGTGTGCTAGAATAAGTTTTCGTGGGACAGGTATCGCCTATTTGATATGCGCGTCACTCAGCGCGCCCGGTGTGTCCTTTTTTTCTTTCAATTTTTTTTTCCCTTCTCGTCGAAATATATCGAGCGTCATTTCCTGCTTGTAACGAAGCGGTGCTTATCGAGAACTAGAGAAAGTGGCGCAAAAAGTTTCCCACCGATCCGGGAAGCGTCGTTAGTCTCGCCTCCGAGCCTGTGTAATTTGTGTATCGTATAAGTTTCGTTTGGGATAGTTTCGCGCAAATACGATTCGCGCTAACGCGGTGTAACGAGTGCGAGCACAACCGGCGGATAACGCTTGAAACGCGCTCTCGCGCCGCGATCCTTCGATCCCGCCGCGGATAAACGAATCGCGTGAAACGTGTTTGCCTAAGCACGCATCGGCACCGGCAATCATTTTCAGAAGTAATTTCGTCGTCGTAATTCTCGCGCCGCCGTTTGTAGCCCGATCTCATGCGGCGTAATTTAATCAGTACATAATATCGCGCGCGTATCGCCAAGTCGAAAATTACGAGATCTATCCCGCCGTCTCTCGATATTGCGACACCGCGGTGCGCTATATCTTTGTCGATTAAAATTTTATGCGAGACGGGATGAAATATATAACGATTCGCACATACTTTGGGGGCAAAATACACGCGGAATAGTTAGGGTGTCCGGTTATCTTAATCGCGTTACAATCTCAGTTATTTGCGAATGTTCAGCGGATATAAATGTGAGTCGTTGAATGGCGAAAGAATGGGCGATAATGTAGTTAACTTAGTCGAGTAATAAAATCGCGAAATTTGTCGTGGCAATTAGTCTTGGCAATTTATACGCTACGGCAAGGCTGCCGTCGTACTTATAATGCTTAAGGACATCGTATCGTGAGTCGGCGATTCGACTTTTTGGTCCGGCTTGATTAATGAGCGGCACGTAGGCTGACTCGTTACAAGGATCGTGTGTTCACCGTGTAAAGATTATATTGGCGAGGCGCGCCGTTATGTTTTCCCCATTTCTCCCGCGAATCGTTTCGCACAATGAGACGATGAACCGATCTGGCACGAACCCCGTCTGGCGCAAAATGTGAAAATGGATCGGTGCCTCCGAGAGACGTCGTATGTCAGCCAATTTGGCGCGCCGCCAGAACATCCCGCTGGAACACGCCGGATGGAAGAGGCCAGTGCGTTGCACCCTTCAATAGGTCGTGTTGCGTCTGTGGCGTTGTAACGCGTCAAAGAATACGTCGACGTCCTACAACGCGCGACCCTAAACCAACGCGACTCGCGAAATTGTTCGTCTACCACCTTCTCTCCTTTCTTCTTCCGTCTATTTCCTTTCGTCGCGTGCTCCGACGTTTATTTTCGGTTTATATGTGAAAAGCTGTCGAAAAGGCTTTCGCCGCCTTTGACTCGAGTCGGCTCTCAAGGCATCACGGTCAAAAGTGTACCGTGTATATTTTACGTGTAAAGAAATTTCAGTTCTAAAAGGAGACGGTTGAATCTTTTTGCTGAAGTTAGTCGATGCTCGCGAGACTAATAATAGGTGGATCAGATAGGCTTTAAAATTTTAATTCGAGTATTCTGATCATTAAAACTCGGCTAAAAGGTTTGCGATTACAAGCTTCGAGCACATTATACAACAACACATAGAAATCGACAGGCTCATTAAATTCTGATGTGTCATTTAAAGCAATAACATCGTGATTATCGCGTCAATATATGGCAATCATGTGCAGTTGAATTTTTTATCGAGACGATTGAGAGGAGATGATGTTTATCGAAGCCAGTGGGTCACTTGAGAATACCTGCTCTTTAAATTCTCTCTGATCTCTTACGAAATGCTTTCTAGAACTCGTTATTGTCGAGAAGATCACTCTGATGAGCTGAATCGGAGAACTTCATCGTTTATTCTAACGTCAGCAATACTCGTAATAGGTTCGATTTTATTAAGAGAAGCTAGATTTTCGGAGAACTCAGCTGTTTATTATTACATCGAGACTTGAACGTCCAATTTGAAGAATGTGCAGTCGTAAATTATTTTAACCTAATTTTCCAATCTACCTTTGAATGTGTGTGTGTTAGACAAAATGGTTTCATTCACATTTGTTATTATAATAATCAATAATTATAATAACTTGCTTAACTTCTTCATAAATTTTTAAATTTTTTCTAATCACGGGTATGCGATCAGAGATTTGATTAATATTTATAAAATTTATTTAAATATTTAATTGAAGTTTTCAAAAAATAGCTGTAAAGATATTTTCAACAAAGTGGCGTTAATACGTAGCTGCAGCTATCTTGGGGATCAACTTAGTAATTGAAAACAAGCATACGATGTGTGAAAATACTTACCGCGCTCCGACAACGACTTGCTGTCGCGCCACGTCGAAAAGCAGCTGCGAATAAGTCGTGACTCCTTCTTGTTGAAACATACTGCTGTTCGCTAAATCTGTAACATATAACAAGAGATTGATTAAGCTCAAGAATATTTCATGAAACTTGTCAAAACCGATAAAAAGTGCTTCAACTTTGATTATGTATATTTGATGTGCTTCGCATTTTAATATTAAAATCGTGGATATTCTATTTTCATTGTTTTTAAATAGAAAACGTGCATCAAGAAATTGATGGTGACGAAAGATAGTATTATAAAGCAACTATTGTATAATAAAACTAAGCTACAATAGCGCTTAGACAACAGCAGACGCTCAACCCTCAATTTAAAAGGTGAGAACCAGTGCGTGGCAGGTGCGAAAAGTCGGAGCGAAGTGTCATAATTACCGAATCGAGCGTGTCGAAAGCGGCTTTCCTTTTCCGCTCGAATATTTACCGGTAGCAACTCGTAATTCAACCTAAACGATCTAAACATGGACACCGCCAGAATTATTCTTAGAAAGCCCGCTGGGCATCAGCATTCCAGCTGACAAGGAACAAAATCAGATTTCAAGACAAGTTAAATTAAAATACATATTTAAAGCTTCGCAATAAATGATTAAAAAATCAACCATTTATTGGTTAAACAAATAATACATTTATTTGATTATTCGCTTGATCTATTTATATTTGATACTGTTATGAAATTTATTTGGATACAAACGCTGTTGCTGTTGATGCAACATTAATTTTTTCCCCATAGAGCAGGACTCAGCTCAATTCTCCTTTATGTCATATGGTTGAGTAGAGAAGAGATGACTTTACGTGCGTTCCGCGATGTCACGCCATAATATTCTATACACGCCTTACACGCGTACTCGTGTACGTGCACTATCGAGGCGTAACGATCGACTTACAAGACCGTCTCGTAAAGCAGGCTTCGATCTTCCGGCGAAGGAGAGGCAAAGGGCGAGGCAAAAATATGGAGAATGATGAGAGAAAGAAAGACCGCGGAGAACATGCCGGGCGTTCTTTCTTTGGTTAACGATCCCAAAGGATTCTTCCTCTTCCCTGCAGCTCTCCTCGTCGTTTTCCTCGCGCTCCCATCTACCTTTCCTTGTCTTTGCTTCTCTACTCAACGTTATTTTCGCTAGCCACGCCCTACGCATCTATCTTTACGAAAGCGTGATTTTACGGCGCATTTTTGACGGGAAGTGAATAACGCGGGATTGTAATAGACCTCATGCGAAAGTTCTGCGGGCAATCTTCTGGATATTAAATTCGTAACGTTAGTCTTCGCCGTGATCGCTCTTCCATTAATAAAAGAAATTGATGGTTTTATTTTGCCACCACGGAGTCTTAAAGTCCGAGAAATCCCTTCCTCCACCTCTCAAATTTCAAAGCTGATTAATTTCCGAGTTGGGGATCGATTTCACTCGAGATGCGAGATGTGTGTCACGTTAGCCGAGGCGTTATTATTTCGCGTCATTATTCACCTATCATTAAGTAAAGCATTTCTCCTGATCGCTATCACCTTGCGTCGCGCGATGAACGATGGGAAATATCAATTACTCGACGCCCATCACTTACGACGAACACTGTGTTCAATCTTTCAGAGGCGACTTCTATGATCCCACCACGCTGGCCGGCGCAAGTAGCGCTCATTCTACTTTATCAATTTTCCGTCGCACGCCGCGTGGGGATAATACGCTCCAGGACGAAATTGCATCGTTGCGAGGATCGGGGCGCGATCGTGCCGTCTGCCGTGCTTACATCTTACACTACCTGAAGGTACCACTACATCAAAGTGATCCCCGTGCGTCTTACCGAGCGCGCGCGTGATGCCCGTTACGCTACCACCGATGCGGACCACCGGGCCAGCTATGTTAATACGGATAATTGCGTTATGCGAACTCTCGCTTTGCGACCGCAATCGAGCGCCACGTGTGCGGGCAGGGACGCGATTCGTCATGCGGGTATTGCGGATACGAAATTTCGTCCGTAATGCGCGATTAAAATAAAATATTTAATTCTTAGTCTCTTATAAAATTCGAAAGAGATAATGGCCGTAAGATTGTGCTGTAAAAGTATAAAGCAGGATGTATCTCGTTATTATACTGTATAAAAAACTGTGATAAAAAAGTGGTCTCACTTATTTTTATGATATTATAAAGAAGCCAGCATAGACGAAATGAACTTGATACGCATTTCTTGAACACGTATATTCTTTTAATTGTTTTAACATCAATAAAAAAAAAAAATTTTTTTAGTTACGATGAGAGAAAATATAGTGTAAACTGAAAGAATATAATTCTCGCATTTAGAACCGGCTTAAACGTTATAATTATCGTACTTAAAGCCGACTTAGCGGCTTTACGACTATAATTCAAAAATTAAGGACGCGCTAAATATTTTGCTCCTGGAATGCTTTAATAGTGATTAAAATTTATACATCGTTAATAAAGGTGTTAAAGGCCGACTGCATCGATCGTCACATCTTGTTCGGCTCATTTAATTCTGTTTCCAATGAGCGGATTACGCGTTGCGCTTAATACCGCCGCCTCTGCGCCCGTGAAACACGTCCTGTTCCGCAAGAACCGAGGCGCTAATCCAAGATCTACGCGGAGATTCCGCGGAGTTCTCGATCTCCGATAATGGAGATTACGCGAAAAATATAAGTTACTACAAAAGCGGCAAAGTTGTAGCGATAAATTGCGGGATCTGATAAAGTTCCTCCGCTAGGAGCGAGGATTCATGGCTGCACGCTCACGCGTCCGAGAGAGGGATGCACCGGAAGGTGCGGCGGCGGGAGAGGGGGACGTGGCGGACGAGACTTTTGCTTAAAGCCTCCGAGTTCGCGCGTGTGCAATTTCGTGCATGCTCGATGCATCTAATTACTTACTCGGTCGGAGATCAAAGACGAGTCACGCGCGTATTAAAATACGTTAGCGTCGCCGACTTCAAAGGACAAAATAATGGCTCGTCGGGCTTGTCGTACGAGAGACGTACACCGTGTTTCGCACAGCTACTTTAAATTTCTGAAATTTTCCCCGAGTTTCCGCCGAGTTGCGGCGACGTGTCGACGTCCCATACGCTCTTTCTGTCACGTAAACCAAATGCACTTATCTATTTATCTAAATCGGAATGCGCGCGAGATCGATTGCGTCGGCGAAGCCTGGGTGGTCGGCGAGCGCTGCTCGATATCGGAGCACACCGTTACAACATCGGGCAGGGCTCGCCGATCGGCAGAATATTAATATTAATCGCTCTTTAGTCTTTATCGCTACGCGATCTCTTAATTGCGTCTGTAGTCGCTATATGTTGAATCGCCCGAGTTGGCTCGCTCGCTCGCTCAGCCGCCGTCTGGCCGTCTCTATGCCGTTATTTAGCTCTGATACAACTTGCGTCAGCGTGAGCTGACCTTTTTATAAACCATGATGATGCACAGCCCCGGACGAATCGATTACTTCTGCCACGTGGCAATCCGGGAAGATTAGATTAAGGAGGGAAAGCTGCTCGGGAGACAACAATATAAAGTGTCATGTATTATTTCGAACCGCTCCGCGATAGAAATAGCGAGTATTATTGACCTTCTTTTATTTCTCGACGGAATGTTATATCCTTTATCCTTATCGTTCGTGAGCTCAGAAGTTATTTAGATTAAAGAAAATAGATGCAGGTTTATGTTCCAGCTGTGCAGTGATCCTTATTAGATATCCAATAAAGTATAGTGTAAATAAATTGATAACATCTTCCGTGTAATACCGATATTCATTAATGCTCGCCTACTTTCTACATCATAAAGAGTCGTGATCTATGTATAAATGCATAGTATCTCAGCAGATAGCATAAAACTTTTCAGACCCACGGTGGCATAAAAACATAAAATTAATGATACAAGATAAAGTATCTTTTACATTCAATTAAAAAAAAATTCTCTTCCAGGTCTTTTAATTTTAACAGATTCTCTCAATATTCGAGAACCCCATCGCGTGAAAGGCTTAACCAAATTTATAGTACCCGCAAGATTAATGAACACCAGTCACTAATTTTCTCATCACAAAGGACAATTTACGTGACGTAGACGGATCGTGTCGCGTGAAATCATTGCCTAATAAATCTTGTAATTTTAATGAATCTTCTTAAATGGGATCATGCAAAGCCGTTCCCTCACTCATTCAGAAGCCTCGCGAAATTTATGGTGCCTCGGAGGGTTTAATATACACCAAGTCACGCGCGCCAGGTCTACCGAAATCTCCTTCGCGAGCGACAATTTAGGCGGCGTAGGTGGGTCGTCGCGTCGCGAAGAATCATCGCGTGCGCATTATCAGATCGCCACGCGATGCGAGCGCGTCTCCCATTATCCACGTGCGCAGACGGCCGTTTAGCCGCGACCACGTGGGTGGCTCGACTTTGTCCCGCGATAATCCCCGTCGATTGCCCCCTACCATCCGCCCCCTTCTCCCCGCTTGTCGCCCTTTTTTCTCTCGCTCGGATAGCCGCGAAATTGCCCTCTGCAAATAAGGACGCATCGATGGTCTGGGCGGCCCCGCTATTGCATAATGCGCCCCTTCCTCCGCTTTCTCCCTTTGCCATCGGCCTCTTCTTCTTTTACCTCGCGAACTTTTTCCTTCGCGTTCACGCCGCCCGAGCAACACGTGGGTGGTTTATGGGCAACCGATAATTTTCGAAATTGGCCGCGAGGAGGCGGTGAAATGTGAAATCGCGCGTAAGTCGTCGTCGTTGTAAAGCACGATCAAGCGGTCGATTTAGCGAGTAAAGCGTGTCGTGACGAAAAAAGAAGTTACAGCCGAAGAGAGAAGAGAAAAAATGGGGGAGAGAGAAAGAGAGATTCTGGATTACTTTCTCCCAAGATGAAGAGAAAATGTTTTCCTCGTCTCTCTTTCATGGTTGCGATGTCAACGAAAATTCGAATTACGCGAACGGGCACGAATTACGAGCGGCGTAATTGCGAAGTGCAACGGCGTTTCTCTGCATACGCGGCGCCGGTGCACACTCTATTTAGCTGCAAACGAGCTGCGAGCGCTTTTACGATCATCCGTAATAAATTAGATG